CTCTGCTGTCAACTGACATTTAAAGAGTTGCCTGAATCTCTGAAAATCATCGCCAAAATCTCCAGCGTGAGCCATCCTGTTGCGGTAATTGACACAAACCAGCAGAATGCCCGTCAGCACAGGCAGTTTTCTTACCAGCATCAGACGCTGCTATCGCCAAAAACCAAGACCAAATCAGTCATAATTGAACCGTTTGATTTTTCAACCCCGTCACCAGATGATGTCGTGAAGGAAAAGCAGAGAGGAGCTTTCACCAGGGATGGAGAGAGTAAGAACATGTTTCAAATTTTGGTGTGATAAAACAAACTATCTATTTACATAGTGTTTATGTCATTTTGTAGCATTTTTAAGAGATTTGAGTTTACATTGAATCTGTTTAGTTGTGTTTCTACTCATTTTAACCTGTGGAATAGTGGCAACTGATTTGTGTCTTATGAAAAAAACTATGATAATTTCAATTTTAGAACCAATGTGTCAACTTTTCTGATAAAAAAAAAATGAATGGATGGTACTACTTGTTTCCATGGAAACTAAGATTCAGTCAATTTTTCTTCTTATTGCATTGGACCACAAAACAGTTCCCTTCTGTTAAATATTTCAGAATCTCTATTTGACCAAAATATTTTTGAGAGATAGATAGTTGTTTAGTTTACTTGACAAATTACGAACATTTCCAACTCATCATTTTGATAAAATTGATGTAATAATGCCATTGCGGTAGTTGTTTTTAATTTTTTATTTTGTATTAAAATTGTTCATTACCTCAACAAAAAGGTGTTCTTTGACACTTTTGAAACATGCTTTGAAAACATAACACATCAGTATGTTATCTCAGTTGATTTTAATCATTAAAAAGAAACGTCATTTGGAACAGAAAAATGTCTTTTTTCACAATTCTGCACCATGTGATGTATATGATTTTTGTACATGTATATGATAATGAGAAGGAAATACTATTTTTTGAGATAATTTATCAACTGAACTTTATTTTATTTTTAGAATGGAATGCATTTTTGCTGAAAGAAGTGCACATTCATATTTGAAATTCCTATCTCTTTATATCATGTCTATATATGGTGCAACTTAGGGAGCTCTTTGTACAAGTAATATTGAGTAACCTAAGGAGCTCTAAATCTGCATGTAGTTTGTTATCTCTCAAACCAGGAACAACAACGCATGACAGTGTGTCTACCAAACATGCTGACAAGCCGAGTGATGTCTCGAGGATTTCATCTGATGAAGACCAAGCCAGCCAAGGAGCTACGCGGTTGTCTTTCCCGGCCCGTTCTGAACCAATGTTTCGGATAGGAGGGGATGAACCTTCACATACAAGGTATAACAACTACTGTAAATGTTTGGTAACTTTCCTGAATTGATGATTTAACTGTTTGTATACCATCATTTTTTCACAACAACATTTTGTATAATTTTCTGTAATTTTAGACCCAATGAACATAATTTCCTCTTGGCTACAGGAGTTGATCAACATTTTTGAATAAATATGGAAAGATTTTGTGAAAGGTGACTTAAATTGACTATGGGACTGGAAATGGGGATTTATGGGTATTTTTGTGCTATATATTGAATGTCACTGTTGTCTCTCCTGATTTTTTCAAACTGCATGTACAAGTGCTGACATATAGTGTATTTTGCCACAGATTCTTTGGGACTACATGACAGGGCTTCGTGACTATCTTTATGTCAAATGATATCATTCATTGTCATATACTTGTCAAAAATTATACATGCAGACCATGCAATTTCAGTGGTTAATTTTTGCTCATTCACACCTTCAGTGAATATGAATTTTTCATAAAAAAAAAAAGAAGAAGCATATTTGCGTTTTTCAATCAGACCAAATAAAACAAAAAATGCATCTATACCTGATCATTATTAAACTTATGTTGACTACAGACTATCAACTAATATGTCTTATGCTTGTGGCAATCATGGACTACATGTAGTATTGCCTTCAGTTCGTGGTTAGTACTAGCTTACCGGATATGACGTAACTTATATCAACCAATTAATCTAAGAACAAGTAATATCAGCTGATAGTCTCATAATATTTTTTTTTTCCCCCCCCATGTCTACTTTTTTTTTTATTTCGACTATATAAAACATTACAAAACTGAAAAAAAACAAAAAAAAAACACAAGGTCACAAAAAGTACATAGCTATTTGACGACAGATAAAGAGAATTAACCAATAACTTGGTATACGCATATTTAATATTTTCTTAAGAGGGTACCGGTATGCACTATAGATTTTTGAGTTTAAATTTGTATCAACAATCATTTACATACTTTAATTTTTGATAATATCCAGGTAATTATTCATGCAAATGATACCAAAGTTATTCTCAACAGATAAAGAAAAATTACATTTAAGAAAATAATCAGATTTTTTATAAATTTTTAAAAAAAATTTTAAAATAATAATATTATACATTTCAGCATAGATATGAGAAAATGGTTTATGATTTCAATCAATTCAATGATGTGCCATAATAATACGTTATTAATTTTTTTTTATACAGGGAATCGGACAAGCTGCCTGACAATGCTACCTCTACTAGTGTCACATTGACATCAGGTACAGAGGGAGGCACTACCAGTATTCCGCACTCTAGCAGCTCAACTAATCTACCAAGAATATCTTCAAAGGCAAGACTGCCTGTAAGTAATCACATCAGTCACATGACCCATGATGCCTTAATTATCAAATGTTTACAGCCACTGTATATGATTATACTATTTAAACCTGTAAAATGCATATTTTTTCCCATCATAATTATGGTGCAACATTTTATCGAATTTATGTATTTCTCTATAATTATTCTAGATAGTAATTCTGAATAATAAATGAACATAGTGCCCTATTAACAATTCTTGATAAAAACTGTGTGCAAAGTGACAAAAGGTCACCAAAAAGACCAGGATGTTTGACCCCTGTCATATACCGGTACCCACCAAAAATGCCAGGATGTTTGACCCCTGTCATTTACCCGCCAAAAATGCCAGGATGTTAGACCCCAGTCATATACCCACCAAAAATGCCAGGATGTTAGATCTCTGTCATATACCCACCAAAAATGCCAGGATGTTTGACCCCTGTCATATACCCACCAAAAATGCCAGTATGTTAGACCCCAGTCATATACCCACCAAAAATGCCAGGATGTTAGACCCCTGTCATATACCCACCAAAAATGCCAGGATGTTAGACCCCTGTCATATACCCACCAAAAATGCCAGGATGTTAGACCCCTGTCATATACCCACCAAAAATGCCAGGATGTTAGACCCCTGTCATATACCTGCCAAAAATGCCAGGATGTTAGACCCCAGTCATATACCCACCAACAATGCCAGAATGTTAGACCTCTGTCATATACCCACCAAAAATGGCAGGATGTTTGATCCCTGTCATATACCCACCAAAAATGGCAGGATGTTTGACCCCTGTCATATACCGGTACCCACCAAAAATGCCAGGATGTTTGACCCCTGTCATTTACCCGCCAAAAATGCCAGGATGTTAGACCCCTGTCATATACCCACCAAAAATGCCAGGATTTTAGATCCCAGTCATATACCCACCAAAAATGCCAGGATGTTAGACCTCTGTCATATACCCACTAAAAATGCCAGG